CTCTCTCTCTCTCTCTCTCTCTCTCTCTCTCTCTCTCTCTCTCTCTCTCTCTCTCTCTTTGAAATACGACAAGAAAAGATTAACTTAGTACAATAAAGATTGTACAGCATGCGTTTTGGCTTACATCGAACAAAATCCCATTGCGTAGACGGTAACGTAACTATTCCAATGTTTATTATATTTAACAAGAAGAAACCGAATTTTAAAGGGTTTCCTCTCGGAAGGGGTGGTATCATCGCCATAAAACTTTCGCTGTTATTTGTAAAGTCATAAGTGCCTTGTAGGTGTGGCAATGTGGCGGAACATTAGAAATCAGTCCGTGCTCACATGTGGGACATGTATTCCGGGACAAGAGCCCATATACATTCCCCGGCGGTGTCAGCAAGATAGTCCTGCACAATGCGGCCAGGGTGGCCGAAGTCTGGATGGATGAGTGGAGAGATTTTTACTATGCCATGAATCCAGGTTAGATAATCTCAAGTGTACCGTTTCATTCATTTTGCGATGTTGTTGGTTGTACTACGTTGCGCTAAATGATGCCGTCGTTATGCACATTTAACTATATATATATATATATACATATATACGTGTCTCTGATGCAACATACCCAACCGATCGATATCTACAGTAGTGTAACACCAAAATTTCTATTACCCATACAGTCTCTCTTTCTCTGTGTGTGGTGTCACAAACTCCCGACTCTCTTGTAAAATCGTTCCACCACGTTTTTCATATAGATATAAGTGAGAAATTTAATATTGAGTTATATTGGGATTACATATTTACACTTCACCACTAAAGATATGTCGTTTTTCAAAACTTTCGTACAGCTGGTGCTCATTGTAGCACTTATGTCGGGAGCAACGGTATTGTTTATGGTAAACCCGTTTTTGGAGAACCGTACGTCTGACATCTGACAGCCGAACAAGAGTATATCGTATTTTGACGGGTATCTGATACGAGTCGTTTACGTTAGATGTACCTCATCGAACTGTTATAGCCCACATAGCTATGTAAGTTGCAATTGTGTTTGAATGCGTTATTTCTTTTTTAACCAGTTGTCTCTCCATTGTCACTAATAACTGACAGCAGTGCTGCGTCAATACACTTTCACAGTGTGACCTTTAATATACGCCACTAGCTACAGAGAGATAGGGCCAATCTGTCCGATTCTCGTCCAGACACATTCCGGAATGACTTTTCTATGCTCGGTCTTCAGTTTAACGCATTCGGATACGCTGCGCTGCGTGACAAACCGGAAGCCGAAGATAGCAAAGTCCTGCGGATTCGCACCGGCACGAAAACCGGAGAGGCGACAGCTTTTGCCACGGAGATACGTCGTAAATTAGTTGACCGTCTTCTATGTGTGTTATGCACATTATGTGACTTCATTGTGTTATGTGTACTTATACTAATACTCTCATACATAACATCCGTAGTTGCATTTACGTTACTTATGTCCGCCTAATATCCGGCGCGAATCGAGATCTCTAACCGTAGAAAGATTGTCCCCACTACAGAATCACTCTCTACATCGATCGCTGCCGAACACTTTATCTACCACCTCCGTTCACACACAGACTCCATCTCTCGGATCGATAAGTATGAGCTTCGACGAAGCGGCATTAGAGATAGCCACGGGGCATCATAAACATGGACGTTGAATGGACGTTTCAGTGATGTTTCGTTTCTGTGTCCTCCCCGGCACACACACGAACCGCTGGTTGTAGTCTTAACCACTCATCCATCCAGCCGACTAACCAATTGAAATTTGCGCTTGCTTCTTTTTAATGGTATACTTTTATCAAGCCACATTATAGGTGCCGCAAAGGAGAGAGAGCGAGCTCTAAATCCACCACGAGGCGCAGAAATTACAATACATATATGCGTTCTTATTCTTCTTCCTCTATTTTCTTTTTTTTTTTTTTAATCCTCTCGTTTCTTAATCGTGTTATACGTGCTAAGCTGTCACAACTGCTAACACAACTAACAGAACTGAGTTGGTTAGATATGGATGTGTGGTGGGACATTGGAAATAGCGACATGCTCGCACGTCGGGCATGTATTCCGTAAGTCGACCCCGTATACCTTCCCGGGTGGTACGAGCAAGATAGTCAACCACAACAATGCGCGGCTCGCAGAAGTTTGGTTGGACCAATGGAAGTACTTCTATTACAACATTAATCCAGGTAGCACTAACCACTGGCGTACCTCATAAAAGAAAAAGAAAGATCTCTGTGTCGCATCATCTCGCGTGTAACCATCCCTGTGCTGTGGCTATCTCCTTTTTTATGCATCGGTTGCTTCTCCTGCGGTAAACAGCATGCTTCCGCGGGACATCTGGGTGTGTCTGTGCATGATGACTCTATCGTTCGTTTCTGTTATCAGTTCACGACTCCGGCTGCTCTCTCTCTCTCTCTCTCTCTCTCTTTTTTCCTGTCTCTCTACTCTATCCGTCTATCAGATACCCGTTAACATTTATTTGAGACATCGTCGCTGTTGCGTTCAATCGTGACGTCGTTACTCAATGATCATTAATAGTAATTGGATAAACTGGACACGATAGCACGATTATGCAAGTAAGATGTTCGAAGGTGTGTACTCTTGGAGTAGAAAATAAGTCACGCACAGCGCACTGCAGGGGGTTCCTTGTGCCGCCAAGGGGCGTTATTGAAGCGAATTATTGAATATACAACTAACATGTGTATACACGCGAGATAAATTCACATTCCTAGTATTTCCATCTAATCGGCAATGCAAAATCACACTCGCGCGAACACATACAGAATATATCGGCGAAGCACATTACATCCTCTGCACGCTACATCCACGAATATATATGAAGGCAGTTAAAGGCAGTTAATTAGAAATCGTGATCGCTATCGATTCGCTATCTCGTGAATCTCCTCACACCTTTCAAGATTGTCAGAAGAATTATGCGCTGCGTAATTGCACAGTTATTTATCTTTTTTTTTTTCTTCTAGAGCAAGCATTACGGCATTGATGTATTATACAAGTACAATGGCAAATTTCTTTGCTTCGGCACTGAAATTCTGACAAGCCTCTATCTCTCTCGATCGATTCGCGTGCAAGCACAATGTACAGAAATTACGTATAAATAAGTCACCGGTTATATGACGAGCGGTTACGGCCGATTATAATGAGATCTGTGCTTTGCAGGCGCGCGGAATGTCGATGTCGGTGACGTGTCCGAGCGGGTGAAGCTCAGAGAACGACTGAAGTGCAAGAGTTTTAGATGGTACTTGGAGAACATATACCCAGAATCGCCGATGCCGTTAGACTATTACTATCTCGGCGACGTGAAGAACGTCGAGGCGCAAACCTGCTTAGACACGATGGGCAGGAGGACCGGAGAGAATGTTGGAATTAGTTACTGCCATGGATTAGGTGGCAATCAGGTTCGTACATCAGAGATTGTCTCTGGAAGCTGAGATACATACGAAATTAAAATGCACCCTGAGATATTTTCTATCGATGGAAACTCGAGAGGATGTCGTTTCAAACTACACAAAAATACTTAAAAATTTATTTGTGGAATAAAAGTTTGTTTCATAAAAATAAACTTTATTTCACAGGATTAAACCTTCTATTTCACAAATAAATTTTCAAGTATTTCTTTTCTCAGTGTACCGCACCGAAAATTCTTTTGCATCGTCTCTGACAAAACTGTATGATTCAGGTATTTGCTTACACTAAACGGCAACAGATAATGTCCGACGATATGTGCCTTGATGCAGCTAGTCCGCAAGGTCCTGTGAAGATCGTACGGTGTCACGGAATGGGTGGTAATCAAGCGTGGGTGTACAACGACGAGGTAACGTGAAAACTGAATTAGAGGAAATGGGACAGACCGTCCGTGAAAATAGATTGAGTGCTTCAACGCTACTAATGTATGTTTCGTTCCTCTTTCAGACCAAGATGATCAAACACACGAACACGGGCCACTGTCTGTCGAAACCCCACTCGGGCGACGCGTCGCAACCCATCTTGACGCAATGCGATTCCAACAACATCGGTCAAAAGTGGATTATGCGTAGCAAATTCAAGTGGCAAGCCAGCTAATACACAAATCGACTCTAAACGCAAGATTTTCACGCAATATTTGTTAATATATTTAATAATGATACTGATAAACTCTTTGCTCCGCGGGATATTCGAGTGCGCGAGAACGAAAGAAAAGAAGAGAAAAGAACCAAGTATTACAATCACGAAGAAGAAACGTATCACGTCTAATTAGCGATTGAGATTGGCGTCGGCACAATAATCGATACGATTACGAAGGGACAGTACGCGAGAGGAAAATCGACTATTGTTCGAGCGCGAGATCGGACAGAAGATTGTAGCTAATTCATTTGATCCTGTAGGATTCAATTACCAATGATATTAAGGTCGGAAATTTACTGCCATTCCTTGTGCTACGCATTGATTTGACACGCAAGTGTGACAGGAATGAACTTCTCCGATCGTGTGTGAACATGAGTGATACTAAACGACGAACAAGTGAACGACGTTTTCTTTTTCTTCTTTCCTGACTTGAACAGCAGAGAAGAAAGCATATCAGACCACTGTTATAAATAATTGTTGATACAAGAGAGAGAGAGACATATTTGATAACTGCGGATGAGTGCAATGACGGATGACTGACCGTTAGATGCGGTGCAATGATGAAATGTGAATATGCTAGAATATACAATACGCTCTGTCATTTTATTGCGATATCATGACGGAGTGGAATGCTGGAATGCTAGTGAAATCGATGTGACGCTAAACTGCGCGGTAATATAGGAATGATTATTGTACAATCCACTAATTAATTAAGGAAAAGCACCGGACCTTTTTATATTCATGTTTCTGATAGTTCCTCGTTGCATCTCGTTCGTATAATTTAATTGTTACGCATCATTTTGCGCAAAGAATGTACTTATCCGAGAATGCCTGAATCTAATTCATAGAGCGAGGTTGCAGAACTTTGCATTTCGTCGGATTTTAGTTTAAACGCGTACGATTGTCGACTGTCGTTTATTACAGAGACCTAACACGCGATTTGTGAATGTACAGAGTGTCTTCCATGTCTTAACGATAACAGACGAATATTACTCCGGCACGATCAGCCGTCGTGTACATTCGCGACACATTGTATTTGTTAATCACGCGTATCCAAAAGATGCTTGACCGGTGAGTGATGGTGCCATAAAAAAAATTACGCCGTTTAATTGCTTTCGAACTCGAACGTCGCGATACCTTTAAGTGCGCGACAAGGCTGGACTCAACAGTAAATAGAAGATCCATAAAGAACTTCGAGTCGAAACAAAATTAAGTTTTATTTGAGCGTGGCGCTTTATAGCGCGACCACTCACCAAGATTAATAATCCTCGGTAAATTTAGTTGGAATGCGACATCAATATAAAAAAAAATCATGTTCGTGATATTTTACAAAATTGACAAACAGAATTGTTTGTCTCAAATTTCGGCACCATTGTCTTTAAGATTATAATTATCATTCGAATGTCTTTCTTTTCCTTCGTAAGTGTTATAAAACTTACAAAAGTTTTGCTCAACATCAAAGATTCGTAAATATGTTGCGAACAGAAATATATTCAATATTTGCGCTCTCGCGAGACAACTTCCGATACAATTTTAAGACTAATTCCTTCCCGTGTAAATGCTACTGAATTGACGCGAGTATATTCATTATTCCTATGTAATTTAAAAGAATGTTATGGTGATGGTGCAACGTTAATAGCTTGATACATTTGTCTTCTAAGACTGTGGTATTTTATTTTTGTATAGAACACGAATTGACATATATATGTTGATAAGCGATGTGTTAGTCCACCTTATAGACGAGTGATAAAATGTTCGATCGCGTTATAGTTCGCTAAAATGGCGAGAAACAATAGTCAATAGCATCTCCTTGCAAACACGTCATTCCTTGCAGGCTAGTTCTACACTTGATTTCACTTTATGAGAAATACTACTCTATTAACGAATAAAATTGCTAATGAACGATTACTACATTTTAATCATTTGTTCAACAAACGACATTTCGAGCTTCACACAGTTCAATCGATTATAATAGTAGAGCAGATCTAATATTATTATAATAATCTGAACTGTGTAAGCGTAATCTTTTTAAAGACAATAAAATAATTTGTATACTTCTATTGAGTTTACATGATAAATATCTCTATGTTATAATATATATGACGTTATATGTATATATATAACATATATATATTATATTCAATCATATATGATGAGATTTAAAGAAATTCTTTCAATGTAGATATATACAAAATTTGTAAAAACGCGAACTTATGCATTAACTATATTTAAATCCAACTTTTGTTTTCTCCTTTCAAAGTGTAATTAAAATTGACTAAAAACAAAGATACTTCTAAAAGCATTTATAATTGTTAAAATTGTATTATATAGACGTAATTTTTAAGACTCTATGAAACAATTATATGAACAATATAATTACGTCTTAGAATAAATAATTAGTTTCGTTACATATATGAAATGTTGGTATTATTATTTTAATATTTGCAATAATTCTTTTATGATCGTTCAATAGTTTGATCATAATTTCACAAAACCATACCTATGTTTACTGGTTTCTTAAAAAAAATATTGAGATTATAAGAACTTCATATTTATTGTTATATAAACAATTTTTATGAAATTAGTAATAAGCCATGTTCGGAGTTTTACATGCATACGTAGCAGGAGACTGGTAAATGGATTAATGGAGAATGGTTTGGTGAAATTCATCATGGTTACACAAATCAATTAGAAATAATTGGTTTGCATTAAACAAAATCACAGAGGATTGTTGAAAAGATATTTATTTATATTATATTTACTGTTCTTTCACCTCACGTAACCGACGCACTGCTGATCTTACTGAAGCAGCAGCTGTTGTGGAATACACCCAAGCACCACCAGCAACTGTCCTCTTGCAGCGTTTGCACGACCAGATGCCAACGACACTACGTTTCATTGCATCCTACCAAAAAGAAAAGGCAATAATTATTTTCATATTCTATCTACATTATACAATATTCATTTAATTCCTTGTATTATGATTCAAACACAATCCAAAAAAATAAGTCAAGTCACACTAGTGTTGCATAATAATATATGATGTAGAAAAACCAATTGCATTTTCTACATAGCTTAATATTTCATGTTTTAAAAAAAATTAATTTTTGTTTATTCTGGAATATGTACAAAATCTAGTCTATGTACCTAATAACATGCCACAAATTAAACTGTACAGGAGCTTAAGAAAAAAGAAATTATGCGAATTTCGATAAAATAGCAAACATAAATTAATCGTTTATTACTAACCTTGCCACAAAACGTGCAGGTGTATTTGCTATGCTGCGTGATTTCCATTTTTTTGACCATCTTTCTGAGAGAGGCACCATAACGAGTGCCATATTTACCGGTGATTCCAACCTTCTTTGTACGTTTCGCCTATTAAAAATAAAACAATTTTTTAGTACACACATTGCACATAATTCATAATTATTAAACGTTTAAACAAATGCACAACGATATGCATGATCGTTTTTACGAGCTAGAGAACTATAACCTCACATTACAAAGTTAACTTCACATACTCACGCGAAAACAATATTTTACATCGAAATATACATTTTAATAATTTCTCGAAAGTGAATATTTTTGTTTGACAGTTAAAATTATGCATATCTTAACAAGATCCAATATTTATAACTCGATAAAATTTTACCATTTTGAAGAAGTAAAGAGCAGTCTTACAGAGAACCGGAAAGAACGTTCCGTTTGTCAGAATTAAAGATGGCGATCTCTCTCTCCCTGAATATTAAAATGGCAACCAATGAATCGATATTCGATACATGTTAAAGAATCGATTATATTCTCGATGTTTTTAAATCCGATTAATATTCCCCGTTTAGTCGCACAATTTGAAATTAAAAAGATTACTTGATCCGCTGCCAAGAATATAATAATATTAACAATAATAATCTATTAAATTTGAAAACGTTGAGAAGTCTCTTCTCGACAGAAAGAAATCGAGCATCGATTCACTGATCGATTATCGCTCACCCCCACTTTGGCCCCAACTGATCCTTCCCCTTCACCTTCCCTTGAGCACTCGCGACCGTCGCTCGCGAGTCCACTGCCAACGGTATGGATAATACAGGTTGATCTGACAAATATCTCATAAGGATGCTTCATCGCGACACCCGCGAACATTAAAACGAGACGCCGTGGACTCGGGATGTACGTTGCGAAATCAACGCCTCACCGATCACCATTGCCTCGTTCTCTGAGACTCTCCCGTTAGCAGTGTCGGTAACCGTCAGCCTGCACCTAGAAGAAGACAGTATACATACCATAATCTTGTTGATATGGCCGTCGTCGAGGAGTTTGATTACTTGTGCCGCTTGTGCGCGGCCAAAACTGGCATCTTGATGGGCCTGCCGATTTTCGAAGCTGGCGATCAAATGCGCAACATCGACAAGAAGATAGCAGCCTGCCTACCGGTTCAGGTAAAATACGACGACCGTGCGATCGCAATCCTCAAATCAGTGTTGGTGGCTCAAATCTGATTCTAGCCAAGGTTCTCTAATACCTGTATTGTGCATTGCTCTTCTGTATTGTGCAGTGCAAATACAATTATCCCTGGTTAACAATCATATGTCATCTAAGTTGAAAAAACATGTTTTTTTATTTGTCTCAAGGATTATTTACTGTTCCAACTCTTGCTACTCTATTTTTAAAGTCGTTATTTTAAATAGAAGCACAGCATAATATTTTTTATGTTTGTTTATATTGTGAAAACAATCAGAACAAATAGTTTTTATGAAATCATTCAGAATTTGATACTTTGCACTTTGAAAGCTATATAGTTTTATAAATTTCAGGTATCACTGACAGATCAACTACCCAAAGTGGTCTGCGAAGAGTGTGCGTTTAAATTAGATCAGCTGTTCGATTTTCGTGAAAAATGCTTGCATACAGAAGGAATGTTTATGGAAATGTTAAAGGAAATTGGAAAAGACGAGGTTGTGCATATATCAGGACATGACTTGGCTAGTATAGATGATATGAGTACAATTCAGAGAGATCTGAATAACATACAGAATAATATTGAAAATGTACAAAGTCATTCAGCTGTAGCTCACGAAACTGCAGAATCTACTATACATACAATGCAAGTGATGGATGAAATGGATCTGGCTGGTGGTGAGCAAGTGGTTTCTCAAGAAGAGATTAGTCAGCAGGATGCTGAGATTCAAGTTGCAGGCATTGATTGTCTGGATGGTGATACCGTAAGGATGGTTGATGAACATATTCGAGAGGTAATTGGAATACTATTGTGTGATTTTTCTTGTAAATTTAACAGATCTGATGTACTACTTGTATTGTGATTTCCACTATCTACATGTATATGACCCAATTAGGAAAGGCTAAATTTTATACGATTGGCATATTTTGTGACTTAAATCAATTGTAACTTGTTTTCTAGGTTTCAAATCATCAAATAGCAATGCATTTGGAAGGTGACATGACTGTAGTAGGAAACTTGACAGTAAGTGGCCACTTGAGTCAATTAGGGATAAATTATGTTACCTCTATCAGCCCTGAAGATCAGAGCCAGGAACAGATAGTGCATTACTGTGAAAATGTAAAATACGAGACAGTGCCAATAAAAGAAGAATACCATAGATTGCAAGAGAGATTAGCTACAGAAGAGCCACATGTACTTGAAAACAATGTAAGTCTAATATTTTGGGCAATGATATTTAATTAAAACAGAGACTACTGCAGTCTGAAATACATGGACAGATCCGATACATGTATAAGAGAAGAAATCACTTATGTGATATCACTTTGTAATTCAGGTACCGGTAGGCAATTTCGCCTCGTCTCAAGAGGCGAAGGACGTCATGGAAGAATCCTGTGTGAAACAAGAACGCAAGCATGTGCGTTCTGTGAATAATCTACCATCTACGAGTCAGATAAACGGATCAGACTTACCCTGTGAAATAATGGTGAAGTACACCAAGAGAACGAAAGACGCATTATTAAAGTCCACACTCGACAATCCCACCGTGGACGAGACCGGCTCGCACTGGTACGTGTGTCCGTTTTGCAACGAAGCGGCTCTAGAAACGACTAATCTGGCCGCACACTTCGAGCAACACTTTTGCTGCTGCGCTTGCGGCTTATACTTCACTAGTGTTGAGGTGTTGAACTTACACAAAGAGCAATGCGATGTATATAAGGACAAAGTAGTCGATAAGGAGAAGAGCAATGTACAATTAGACGTAGCAGCACCAGTTGCAGGAGAAAGCAATGACAATCAAGCTGAACAGCAGAAAAAGCAGTCAACGGTGAGGCAGAAATGGACACCAAAAGTGTGCTTGCAATGCGGTAAACAATACCGGACGAATTATAAACTACAGGAGCACATGCGCAAGCACACTGGTGAGAAACCGTTCCAGTGTATGACCTGCGAGAAGGCGTTCCGCAGCAAAATCGGTCTCGCGCAGCACGCGGCCACGCACACGGGCCAATTCGACTACAATTGTTCCACCTGCGGCAAAGGTTTTCAGTGCAAGAGTTATCTCATCGTGCACCAAAGAGTACACTCGGACCTGAAACCGTACCCCTGCAACACATGCGGCCAGAACTTTAAGACGAAGCAGTCACTGTTGGACCACCAGAATCGTCATCTCGGTGTGAAACCGTACATGTGCGAGATCTGCGGCCGCGGCTTCATCACGAAGGGCCTCTGCAAAAGCCATCAAAAGATACACTCCGGCACGGATAATCGTCAGTACCCGTGCACGGTGTGCAATAAAATGTTCGTCAGCAAGAGTTACCTCAACACGCATCTGCGCATACATACAGGCGAAAAGCCCTACCTCTGTGAGGTGTGCGGCAAAGGTTTCCTGACGCGAGTCGACCTCAAGATACATTCGACCATGCACACTGGCGAGAAGAGCTTCAAGTGCGAGATGTGCGGCAAGGTGTTCGCCCGTCGCGCGGCTCTACGCTGCCATCGTAGATCGCACACCGGTGAGCGACCCTACAGATGCGAAATTTGCGGCAAAACGTTCACGCAATTCAGCCCGATGGCGATACACAAGCGGCTGCACACCGGCGAACGGCCGTACGAATGCGACGCGTGCGGCAAGTCGTTCGTGTCCAGGTCGACCATGATGTGCCACCGGAAAAAGCATCACGTTACAACTGTCGTGCAGAAGGACATAATCGCGCCGAAAGAGGAGATGACCGAGGTGAAGATCATCCTTTCGTCTGACATCGTAACCAGGGATGATGGAGTACAGATCACCGCAGATTGAAATTGTGAGCGTCGTGGACGACGTGTAGAATTTGTCGCACGATTCGTACGGGGAAACCGAATCGGGAGTTTGGGTGCTAAGGAAATTTCATCTGCATTCGTTAGATAACGAACTGCTTTTTCGTCACCATAGTGTATTCTACAGTATGTACATTCAGAAACTTTATATAAAGATATTTTTACAAGAGATAGAGTTCTTGTAGTATATGAGAATATACTATTGAAAGTTATGCCAGAGATCGCACATATTACATACTTATAACCGGATTATTAAGATGTGACATGAATATTATGTTTTATACAAATAACAAAAGAATCGTAACTTTCTGGCAAAATCGTCTGAACGAATGTTATGCAATTCTTTTTTTCCTTTTTTTTTCGAAACTTTATATCGTATAATATATTTCAGCAATGTATGTCTGTGAGTACGTATCTTTTGTATCCATTTTGCTGCATTGGCTTAAATTTTTAATAATTTTCTCATAAGTCGAAATTTGTTATTTATAACTTTTAATAGATTTCAATAAGGTTATTATTTTCAGTGGTGGTACATATTTCAGCTTGTACTCCAAAACAGGCTTTTAAAATATATCCTAGATCTTGGAAGGTTTCAATGACTTCTATTTTAATATCAATTTCTCTTGCAAATCACAAAAGGATTTAAATGAAACAAAATCTTTTTTAAATAATAGAAAAGTACGTTTTATAGAATACAAATTCAGCGGTACTCATTATCGAACAAGCAGCTTTAGATATTTGAGATGACATTAATAATATAAACATAATGTAAAATATGGTTTACATAGTAACACTTGATTTTATGATTTCGTATCATGAAAAATAGGTTCTGAGTTAAGGCGTAAGGAAAAATGTATCTGCGAATAATTATCGGATTATATTGATATATTGTACAAAAATTGATTGATTATAATTTCAATCCCAAGTCTATACGCGTGTGTGCGTTTATAAAATTTGTTAAATCGTTATATACGCTATTCTTTATATACATCAAAATCTTCACTTTTTTTCATGAAAGAAGAATATTAACATCGTTGTAAGGAAAGTAAGATATTTTCTTAAATGTAGTAACGAAATACTATTTAAATGAATTGAAGGCTGATGCGCTCTTACGACGAAACACACAATTAATGGTGATGCTCTTGCAACCATGAATATTTTTGCGGAATGAGAATCCAAGAAAGTACGTTGTATAATCATCTTTAATATACATTTCTATGTAGCTACGTCCCCGCAATCAATTGTCTCGAACGAAATCAGCTTTTCGCACACAAAGTAGAAATTGTGATATATAATAAAATAATTGAATATATTATTTGTAAAATTGCGATGATTTGTAATGTTATTATTAACAGAAACCTTCTTTGAGAAGAATATAAAGAGCTTTATACACCGACACCGCTGTTCTTTAGTCCTCAGATTCTCTTAGATTTGTACTCGATATCGATATTGCTATCCGCCCATCAACGAGCGAGGTTGAGTGAGATTGAATAGAATAGATTTTACTAAAAACTTGTCTTTATTTTGACAGTACGAAATAATAATATGAATCGCCTGAGTCGCTTCGATACATGTCACAACGACATGTAACTACTCGACTCTATACCAGCAGCAATAACACATCGCTGACAAAATGTATGTGTAGAAAGTACACTTTTATTTATATATATATATATATATATATATATATATATATATATGTGTGTGTGTGTGTACTTTTATATATATATATATATATATATATATATATATATATAT